CACTAAAAGAGTAGCCCAAAAATTGGCGGTGGGTGGTGATGAGTAGCTGCCTTCCCTCTAGTCTTACACTTCTAAATTAGGGACGGCTAGCACAGATAGCCTTCGTGTAGCTTTGCGCGAAATAACAAAAAAGAAAAATTGTTGTTACTATAACAATTTTCGAATTTTTGCTACCAAATTTATCTTTATACTATTAATACTGCGATCATTTACGCATTTTTTGTAGCCTACTATATGCTGTACTGTTGTTACTATGACGATCTGATTTCACCTGCTAAGCACTATGAATTTTACTTTTAATTAATATGGTAATTTGTGATTTCTTGTGCTTTCGCCGTTTTATTTCTTATTTTTCCCCTACTATGTCTTTCACTTTCGGTACTGGCATGACCTGATGGTTAGAGCGCTCGACTCGCAATCTGTGGGTCGCGGGTTCGAATTCTGTCACCGAACATGTTCGCCTTTCACCAGTGGGAATGTTATATGAAACGGCCAATCCCACTTTTCGTTCGTAAACAGTAGCATAAGAGTTGGCGGTGGGTAATGTTTACTAGCTGCCTTCCCTCTTGTTTATCGCTTCTGAATTAGGGACATCTGTCAGGCCCGTACGCAGAATGTTTAAAAGGGTGCTTCTAATTTGTAAAATTAAAAACCAACAGTTGCAAAGCACAATCAGCATGCAAAGCATGCTAATGCTACGGGGCTGTAGGAGCATGCGACTATTTCAAGCCAAAAAATTTCAATGGTTCATCAGAAGTACATAGATTATGTAGAAAACGTTACATATTATAAGCAGCTGCGCTATAACTATATAAGCATAATTTTTTTTACATCACAAAAATAGAGGGTTCTATCGAACCCCCTTGAACCCTCCCTGCATACATGCGTGTCTATAGTAGTTATCCCCTTTACGTGAAATTCATCAAGCAAACTTTTACTTCTTGTAGCTTTGATGAGATTTCTGTTATATGTTTTTGAATTCTTGTTGTTGTCATAATTTTGTTGTGCATTTACCCGCTTGTTTGCTTTTCAGCACAAAGCTACACAAGGGGCTATCTGTGTTTGCCCACCACGGGTATCGAAACTCAAATTTTAGCACCATAAATCCTCAGGCTTATTGCTGAGACATCTGGGTGGGGCGGTTACTTCTTATTACTTTTTCCCCCAGTGGCACAGTGGTATGTCTGCGTGCTTACAATGTTAGATACCGAGTTTCGATACCCGTCGTAGGCAGAGCACAAATACGCCATTGTGTAGCTTCATGCTTAACGTCAAACAAACAAAATGATTATTTTGATTATATGGATATTTACTTTACTTGTTATGTGTTGTTAGTTCCTTCTACTCAGGATGGGAGTAAAAACGTGGCCCAATGGCTAGCGTGCCTTGACTGTGGGTCTGAGGAGACACAGTTAGCGTCCCGTTGTCGCATTTTGGGACCATGGATGCGTTGTAAATTGACAGTTAAACCTCACTATTCGGTCTGGCAAAAGCAACCCAACAATTGGCGGTGGGTGGTACCGATTGTGTGTTTTACTGTATTGGATTGCGTTATTAGCTTGAAAAATGCGATTTTACTTATCATTACGCCCGTGACCGGACCACTTCAGTTCGATAATATTCTTTTTTATTCGTTATTTTGATAGTCTGATCATTTCAACTGCTATTATGATATTTTTATTTCTTGCATAATTACCCTACTAAGAGGTTTATAAAATATTTAACCGTGTTTCAGTATTATATTATTATGGAGTGTATTTAACCGTGTTTCAGTATTATATTATTATGGAGTGTATTTAACCGTGTTTCAGTATTATATTATTATGGAGTGTATTTAACCG